TGTGGTTGATTAGGAAGGGCATCCAGTAAGAGAAAACCACCATTCAATGGAAGACTGAATGAAATGATTGATGATGGTTGTGTAAAAGTAATACTTCAACTGATTTGATCTTTTAACATTGGAAATGTCTGCACATGAAGAGAATTTACACTCAAAAATGTAAAATCATCTAAAAAAAATCTACTCAGCCCTCTAAAGAAGCAGAAAATATATAATTGCTCCCTACATACAGCACATATACTTGCTATTACTATCCTTTTCCTGTATTGATTTCAGAGGTCTGTATGTATCTCATGTTTTATTTTCAATATATATTATCAACTTTATCTATTTACCATTGAAAAAAATAGATTTAGAAGATTTTTAGGTATTTGGTAACTTTCAGCCATAAAAAATCCTCCCCTTGGAATTTTTCTGGGGTTTTATCCCTCAAATCATGAATTTCATTGCTTCTTTTGAAAAATTATTACTGCATAGTTTCAACTCATATATTGTAATGCACTGAGTATATACATCAAAATGATTTACTTGAAACACCATTTTGTAGGAGTAACAAAAAAACAAACAAAAAAACATTTTCAATTTTTATTTTCTCAAAATAGTTTTCATACCTATTGAATATATAGTGCATATATTTCTTTAGGTTATTTTTTAAATGTACTTTTGAAAAAAGGTGAAAATCCTAGATGGGATCAACATTCTAAAATTTGTGCCAAGAATCCTTAACCATCATAATGCAACAAGTACAATCATTTTAGCTTCCATTGCAAAGGCACAACAAACTCACAGCTATCAGATTTATTCTATTGTACTTCAGAATCTATAAAGGACTTTTCAGAATATGCAAAAGACCCTCAGGAGATGGTATAGAACAGACTGCATGCACGGGTATATTCTCTTGCACAAGGGCAGCATTGGTTGCAGGTCCTATTGCAATAATTTTAACACCGGTTAATGACATCCCCACAGACTTCAGTTTTGGCAAAACAAACTTCACTCCAGATGGACTAAAGAACACCAAATGTGAAGGCATTTTCCCTGTGGAATGGTGCTTCGAGACAGCATCCTTGAGCTGAGGATGTTCCTGAGTTTCATAAACTGTGAGCGCTCGGAAGTCCCGGTCTTCCTGAGCCAGAAGCTTGGGTAGCTCATCCCTCCCTAAGTTCCCACAAGGATACAAGAGAGGCTTGTCAAATGCAACAATCTCTCTCATAATGATGGGGGCAAGCTGCAATGCATTGCCCGATTCCTGGCCAATGTGACTGAGTTTCAAGTGCTGCTGAACAGCTCTTCCTGTGGCTTCTCCAATAACAAAAATTTTCTTCTCACTCCAGGAATGATGACAGTCCACACTAAGATTTTTGTAAATCTCAGTGACAGCCTCTACTGCCCTTTTACTTGTAAA